ATATATACTTTATATACTTTATCGACCTTACCTCCACGCTCATTGCTGCTCCTATTAGCAGACCGATAGATTGTGCAACTAATGATGTCATATTTAAATACTTATATATATATATACTTTATCGACCTTACCTCCACGCTCATTGCTGCTCCTATTAGCAGACCGATAGATTGTGCAACTAATGATGTCAGTATACATATATTTAAATACATAAGAAAACGCTCCGTTTCCAATGGTTGCGACGTGATAAAGTATACGATCATCACATAGGCTATAGAGTATACCATCTGCAATAATTTAATATTGTGCATGAGTCGCGATTAGTTTGGCCTTAATTGAACATGGAGAGCGTAAATTATACTTACTTGGAACGGCAAATCCGCCAACGTTCTTGCGAAGTAAAAGGCTTTCACCGAGTACCAGTAATTTAAATGCTCTCGCACGAATACGGACATTTCCATCGGAACTGCGACAAAGATGACAAAATCAAGATCATCGATATATCTCGCGGCGGTTACATGATTACAAATTACTCACATGTTAATATAGTAGGCATCATCGCAGTGAACATTAAAAACATCACCGTAAAAAAGACGCATCCGGCATTACTCATAACTTCGGAGGCTTCGTTACCGATGTCATAATAAATCGCTCCGATCAGAAAGCCGACGATTATATGCGAAATCAATCTTACCCTTGTTAGCGTCTGTTGGAGGACAGAGTGAAAGTAACACTCAGAATGAAAACAAAATATCTTAAAATATCTTAAGTAGAGATTTTGTGTTATTTTTCCGTAAAAAAAAGGTAATGAAAGAGGAAATATTCTAGATAACGTATATCTTATTTACCATATCTCGCATTTGCGATAGAAAAGTCCTCTTGAGCAATATCCAAAATTGCACCCAACCATTCGTCGGAAAGCCAACCTTTTGCTCTATACTTTCCACGCTATCCAGCAATGACGTTGTGCAAGAAACCGGCATATTTATCATCGTCGTGCCAGTTGGCGGCTTTGCCACACCATTCGGTATCAGAGCAGCGCCTTCCGATTTCGTCTGCTCTTGTGGCGATTCTTTGGCGATGTCGTTTGAAACCGTTTGCGCCGCGGAAATGGCTGCTTGATGATGCTGATAATTATTGCATTTGCCATTATTCACAGCCATCACGAGCTTGTGAACGCACTCGCCGTGCTCCCCGCAAGCGACTTCCATCACTGAACCGATAAAATTTCATTAGCGTATCATATTATTGCGATGGAAGTACAATTTTAACAATCGACGAATTTGTAAAGCAATCTGTGAAATTTTAACGGTAAATATATTTTGTAAAATATATCGAAATACATTCCATTCAGAAAATAAAATTAATTTTATTCTTAAAGAATCAATTCACAATGATCGCACAAGATCATGATTTAAAATTTTCTACATACGTATATATAGAAACGACATTTGAAATAGGATAATTGAAATTTCATCGAATACTTGCCGTAATCCGCTGGATTGTGATAACTTGGACAATCGAGACCCATCGATGACAAGAAGGGCACTAGGCCACCGACGTTGCCCTGATATATACACTGGCCTTCGGCAAGCAGGTACAGATGATCGAACATCTCGAACAATCGCGCACTTGGTTGATGGATCGTGCATATAATCGTTCTTCCTGTAAAAGATTCCCGCATGTATACAGTGATGTTATGTTATAAATGCGAGACGTTCGTAAAAAAACATTTTGCGAGAACATTACCTCCCCTACTTAAAGATTTGAGCAAACTGAGGCATTGGAAACAAGCGGAACTATCTAAGCCGGAAGTTGGCTCGTCGAAAAACATAACCGGAGGATTGTTGACAAGCTCCAGCGCTATCGACAGCCTCTTCCTCTGCCCTCCACTGAGATTCTGGGTTTGCGTATTGCTGGCTTCGCGTAGGCCAAGTGTCTCAATAATCTCCTCAATCTGCATATGAATATACGAACTTCAGGAATCGAATTTTGAACTTTAGCTTATATTTTTTTTTAAACGCAATAAAAGAAGAATTTCCGCTTATCGTACCACTACTTTCTTGGCAGTCGCGCTGATATCCTTCCCTAATTTCAGATTTGCTGAAACAGTCATTGCTTCGTAAACAGTCAGATGCGGCAAAAGTCGATCGTCCTGCATAATATAGCACGACATCTTTCGAAATCTTCTGAGATTCCTGTCCTTTCCGTTTATCAGTACTGAGCCATTCAAATGGGACGTTCTAAGACGTCATCGAAAACGATTAAAATTTTGTCGTCAAAAATTTTGAGAGAATAAGGCAGAAACTTAGATACATGCAATTTTAATCATATACAATTTTATTACTTATCCCAATATATTGTTAATTTTCTATCCTACTTACTTGTAACCTGCTAAAACATTCATAAGCGTGCTCTTTCCAGCGCCGGAAGGTCCCATAATGGCTGTTAATTCTCCAGATCTGAATTTTCCGTTTACGCATTTCAGAATAGTTTTATATCCTGCAACAAAATTGAGAAATTATGAAGAAAATGAAAATATAGATGTGTTCTTCTATAATCGAAAAGTTTATTTGCAACGCAGGCTATATTGCTGGAGATTTCCATAATATAGTATTTTGTTCAAAAATTTTGAAGAAAGCTTTTCAAGCACATCATTATATAATTATAAAAAAATATATATCAAATGTGCTATTATTAAATTTCGTGATTAAAAGCGATACTATCTGCGTATATCTTACATATATAGAAATGGATCGCAACATTTTATAATAGAAACTGTCTATTACAAGTCTTTTTCAATTTTGGCGTCGTTGATTGCCAAAATTCTCGTTAAGACTCTTGCCAAAATTGTGATATTTTCCACACCATTGTATAGAGAATGTATTCGAGGATTATACATCCCTCAGACAGACGAAACCTCTGGCTGACCTCTTTATCGCTAGTGCACTTGCACCAAGAACGATGCATCTGCGCCGAAACGGGAACCTGTCCGTGCATTTCTATCGATTTTTTCGGTCAGGTCATTCACACATGTTGATAGATGAAAAGCCTACTGAATAGCTCTTTGCATATTCGATTTCCCACTGAATTTTTATTGCTCCGAAGTAATGCAAAATTGAAAGTGCATCATGCCGATATATTATTTCGAGATATAAGTAACTGCGTCCTTAAAATAAAAAATAAAAAAAATACGAACGTGGATTCTCGTTCTTTTCCCGTTATGCTGTTT